AAATAAAATTTGAAATAGAAATGCGAAACTTTGGATAAATATTAAAAATAACTGCGATAACAAAAAATTCAACAATTTTTAATAATAATAATAATAACTTAGTGGTAATATTAGAAAACAATAATAAATATCTCTTTTACTAACCTTGCGATCCTTGAAGTCGAGCTTTCCTGACTGAAACACATTTAATTTTATTGTGTTAAAATCATTTCTCTTTTTATTTATTATTTCCTGTCTATCACTCTAAAGTTGTTCTCATTGTTTACTGTTGTTGTCGTTATTGTCATTATTGCTATTATTGTTGTGGCTGCTGTTATTGTTTACTATATTGGTGTTGTTATTGTTTATTGTTGTTGCTGCTGTTATTGCAATACATATATGTGTATCAAAATTGATAATATCGTATTTTTGTTCTTATCATTTCTAAAAAATAAATTAATAATTGATAATTTTGTAAAATCCAGTTATTATTATTGAATTTCTTTTCCAACGAAAGGGTCAATCAATGATGTTGATAAAAAGTTATTAGTGTATTTCAATGATGATATTGATGATATGTACTTACTGGTGACACACAATAGCGACATGCCGATTTAATAGAGTAATTTCCTCTTCATGACATCCTGTAAATGACACTAATAATATTTTAGTGAAAGGAAGAAGCAACAATATCAATGGAGTAATTAATAACAATAATAATAATGACAATGATAATGATGATGATAATGATAATGACAATGATAGTGGCGGTAATAATAATAAATAATTAATAATAATAACAAATGTAATTTTTAGATGAAAAGTTTACAAAAACTGCAAAATATTTTTTTCAGGGTAAAAACAAAAAATTGTAGCAAAAATGAACGTTAGCAAATTGAAGAAACGATTAGATAATTTATGTATTTTTAAATGTTAAACTTAAAATTAAAATTCTCGTCCCTTTCTTTCTCATTTCTCTCGTTTTTATTTTCCTCTTTCCTTCCTTCTCTCCTCTCTTCCTTTTCAAAATCAACTCTTCCCAGTCAGTTTTCTTCTATACCTTCTTCAATTTATTCGTAGCTAATAGCAATTGTCAGTTAGGTTTATAGTAGTAGAAATTAGCGTCACTGATTCACGCAGCAAATTTAAAAAAAATAAAATAAAAAGATGGCAAATTATTGCTAAATTAGTTATAGCTAATTTATCTAAACACTAATTAATTAATTAATTAATCGAGTTATCTCTTTGATGTGGACTCTTTTCATCAAATTCCTTCCTTAACTTTATTATTTTCTCTGTTTCAGGGAAGATAAAACGAAAAATATTAATGTTTAAAAGCGAAAATATGTAGAGATGATGATGAATTTATTTGAAGTTAATTATTAGCTTAATAATATAAAAGAAATTTATTAGTCTGATCTAATTAAGTAAGAATGGATGAGAAGATTGAAAACAGCTTTGCTTACGCAAATAAGGCTGAGCAAATGAAAATAGTTCTGCTTCTCTACGTGCGTACGTCACGAGAAACTTAAAAATAACCCCGGTTTAAAAAGGAATTGTGTGTCGTTTCGTTGAAATTAATATTCGGCACTTTCGCTTGGTTATTATAAATGAAGTAATTCGTTATTTTTTTTTTTTCAGAATGAATAATAAACTTGAGCGTTTTTCCAGTTTAATGCTTTTCGGCTTTTTGTTTTTTTTATTTTGTTTTTCCAACTGTATTAATATCAAAATTATTTTATGAAAATATCATGATTAATTGCAAGACAGTTGTTAAATAGCCAAAATATTATTGCTAAATGAAATATTGTTATCATTATTATTTATTATTACTGCTATTATTTAATGCCACCAATTATTACTATTAATTACTGTTATTAATTATTATTGGTTATTGTTAATTATTATTATAACTATTAATTATTATTAGTAATTGCCAGTTGTTATTAATTATTATTCATTATTATTAATCATTGTCGTTATTATTATTTAAAGAATAATATTTTATAAAATTTCATTATTGTATATAAAACAGAAGAAAGAAAATAAAATAATGGGAAAAAATGGAAAGCGAACAACGACGGCACTTTTAGACTTTAAATGATAAATTGTCTTATCAGTTGTAGTTATCAATTGCAATGCTACCTAATCTTCCAATTGCTAAAATACATCTCTATTACTGTACATCCGAGACCTTTTAAATACAATAATCATTTATTTCCTTTTTTATTTATGAAAACATTCCTTTTCTTTGTCAAATTAAAAATATGTGTGTTTTCTTTGTTTCCTAAAAAAATAATTGAATTCTTGAAAATTCAAAAATAAAATAAATTGAAATTATTAATTCCAATATTGAAGTAATTCGGTTTCTAAAAGAAAAATAGGGATATTGATTTCATTTGATTTTTTTCTTCCAGCAACAATATTTGTCTTTCAGCAATTTACAATGAATCTTAATTAACCAGAAAATGAGTAAAAGTTTTAAAACAAAAGAAAAAGATTAACTGATATGTAAAAAAAGTTAAAAAGATAAACAAACAATTCGTGTGATTAGCGATCATAGATGCTCAACCACTTAAACAAAAAATTAATGAAATATAAATGAATGAGCGGATTAAAGCAACAAATCATTGCCGAAATTTAAATGAACCGATCAAGTGTATAAAACTTTGCTGAAATTTTAATGGATCAAGCTAGTACATACTCTTAAATCAAATAATTAAAATTTTGAAATATTTGATTGAATAATCGAAATTTTGCATTTATTGTTAGTTTAATGTCTATCAAATAGATGGAAAGAAAGAAAAAAAGATTACATATTGATGTTTATTATCATAATCGACGATTCATCATAAATATGAATCACTATAATAGCAAATAACTACGATTTCACACTTTTAAATTTTTTGAAAACATACTTTTTCTATCTACAACCATTATCTTGCTTGATGATGATGAAAAATAATATAAAGAGAAAGGGAAAAAACGCAAAATTTAAGTTGCCACTTTTAATTAAAATGATTTCTTGAAATTTTTTACATCACTTGTTCATTTTAATTTTACCTAAACAGTAAAAAAATTATTTTCCAAAGAGAAAAAAAAACAAAAGGAAAGAAGCAAAATAAAAAAAAAGCAGCCGTTTTTTCAAAATGAAAAACAGCAGGTGGCATAGGAACGTAAAGCAATAACAATTTTTGTTTGTAGCAAACATGAAATCATGATAAATAAAAATTAAAATTAATTAAGAAAAATAATAAGTAAATAAGATATCATTTATTGTTTACTTATTTTCTATTCGATATAGATATTTTGTTCGGATTATCGTTTAAAAGTTGCAAGCAATTTTAAGAAATAACTTTTAAAAAACTTTTTTTATTTGAAATTAAACTATGGCAAATTGAAAAAAAAAATGACAGTCGTGGAAGAAAAACAGAAATTTTCTTCATTTAAATTTTGAAATAGCTTACAGTACTTCTCCTGATGGTATCATCAATAGCCATTTGATAAGGATGAACTTTGCTCTTTGTTGTTGCTCAAATTTGATTAATATTATGAACTTCTGCTTTACCAGTCATTCATTCGAAAATTTATATACTTATTTTAGTAGCAAATGGAATAATATTTTATCTGATAAATTGATTGATCATTCCGTATTTCGGATTCGATTGCGGAATTCAGTTCACTCTTTTTGCGATTCTTTTCCATTGTAATTTTTGACATGGCATAAAAAACTTATTGCAACGAATAATTTAAATATTTTATTCATATTCAAAATATATCGATCAGCCCCGGAATTTAATTCATTCTATTTATGAATTTTTGGCGTGTCAAAGAATATGATTATTTGGTAAATGAATATCACAACCGGTTGGTGTTGCACTTCATTATTTGCAAATTTTTTAGAAATCAATAATTTCTTCATATTAAGATTTCATATTTTCATTTCCAAACATTGTTTCCATTTGTAATAATAGCAATATTTCAAAATTAATAGAAAAAAATTTTTTCTAATGTCGACGTCGTAAAATTGATGCTAATGCATGCTTCTTGTAAGGTTGTGCCACTTGCACTTCATCTAATTTTCCCTATAAAGAATATTGAAATTTTACAATAACTTAAAATTTTCACAAATAAAATTTTCTTCAAAAGTTTTATTTTTTAAAAATTAGAAAATTTTCTCAATTTTTTCATGCTAGAAATTTATTAGCTCTTACTTTAGTACCAGGAAAACTGTCACCCAATGATTCTCCTTCTTCACCTGAAAATGAAAATGAAATAACTAATAATTAAAGGAGAAAAGAGCGAAAAGAAAATCGTTTTTCCGTCCCAATGTTTTAGCCAATCCAACTTTTTGTTTCCATTTAAGAAATTTACTTTTCCAAAATTAATAATTACAATTTAAAACATAAATTCAAAAAAGATTGTAGCATAGTGTTTCAATGCCCCAAATGAGTTCTAATACCTTTTATCCAATATTATTTTTGTATTCAAATAATGATTAGCAAAAACTATTAATTATTAATTGCTAGTTAAAGAATTTTAATTAGTAGCAAACAATCTTAGCTCTAAATGTAGCTAAATCGAAATACTCCTATACACTTACGTGATGCCGTTCAAGTTATAATAATAAATTAATTTAAAATTAAAAAACGTAAATTTCTAGAGTTTATAAAATTGAAAATAAAAGTACTTAATAACAAAAATATTTTAAAAAGAAATTTATACCTATACATCAATATAGAAAGGATAACTATTAATAATAACAAATTTATATTATAAAAATTTCGAATTAATAATTCAATCTGATTTATAAAATTTTTTGATACCAGTTTACTTTATTAAAACAAATGGTGATTTTATTTAGAATAACTACATATCCGTTACAACTCTTCATACATTTATTTGTTTACCGACAGATTTTTAAATATTTTGCAAAACAATCTATTAGCATAAAAAGCTGAGTCATCACCCTGAAAGTTTAGGATTATTCATTGATATATTTTGATAATCACATACCGTTTTGAGGGCGTATTGCTGGTGGACTATCAGTAATTTTTGACACTGCATCAGGCTTCCCGTTTGTTTCGATTTTCCGGTAAACACCTACCAGTCCGTTGCCATCTTCTTCAGCCTTACCTTTCAATGGTTGTCTGAAATCATACTCCGCACCAATTTCTTTACCATTCCGTGTCGGACAAGGACAATATTCCGCATCCATACCTGAGAAATAAGAATTAATTGCAAAAAAAAATTGGAAATCATATAGTCATGTGATTGAAACTTGTAATGATACACCTATCATTCCTGGTAGTCCGATTTGTCCGGGAATGCCCATTGGTCCTTCTGCTCCTGTTGGTCCAGGACGTCCAGGCTCTCCAGCCAATCCTTAAAAAAGCGATATTTCTCGAAGTGTTTTTAATCAGTTAAAAATTTAAAAATTCCAGCATGCTAACAACTTTATGGTTACCTATTTCACCTTCATCACCTCGTTCGCCAGGTGGACCTTGATCTCCTTCCGGTCCTATTGGCCCAATTTCGCCTTTTTCTCCAGGTGGTCCACGAACATATTGATAACCATCTCTTCCGGGTTCACCTGTTACAAAATATTATTTTACCACATCAAATTGGGAAACTATAAATATGCCTTAAATTGCTACCAATTTCACCAGGAGGTCCTTGTGGTCCAACTTGACCAATATCACCTTCAGGTCCTTGCTCACCCTCCGCTCCATCACGTCCTTAAAATGTAAAAACAATGTCATATTTTTCTAATATGAATTTTTCTTCATTTCTAATAATACCTAGCATAATAATTGCAAAACGCCTTAATACAAAAAAGGCCTTTTTCAATTATTACGCTCGTCTACAACGGAAATGATCTGTTACAGCAATTAAAAAGAAACAAGGATTGGAAATGATTTGCTAAAGAAATGAAAAAATTGATAAAAAATGAATCTTTAAATAATTATCAAATTTTTAAACTAAATACAAAATCTGTTTACCAGGTTTTCCAGGTTCTCCTTTTTTGCCAAATGGTCCACGTGGTCCTCTTCTTCCCTTATAGCCTGGTAAACCAGGTCTACCTGGTGGACATGGTGCGCATGGACCTTCTTTCGGACTTTCATACAGTCCTGCAATACCATCTTTACCAGGTAATCCGTCCATACCATTCTCTCCTGAAATATTGAGAAATGCTTTAGACAATTACTGATTGATTTTTATTTAAATTTAAATAATATTTTTTAAAATTTCATCAATTATCATATTTTTTAGAATCAATGTTTACTAAAAAGGTATGTTCATAATAGTTAGACATTTAATAACCTTTTTCACCCGGTTCACCAGGTGGTCCAGGTGGTCCCCGAGGACAACCATTTCGACCTTTCATACCATTTGGTACATCTCCATTCTTATCTCCATTCCTTTTTCCGTCTCCTTCTCGTTCACCATATCCATTCTTTTTTCCGTTTCCTTCTCCTCCACCATATCCATTCTTCTTTCCGTTTCCTTCTCTTTCACCGTATCCATTCTTTTTTCCGTTTCCTTCTCCTTCACCGTATCCATT